TCTTCTACCACCAATACTTCTGATCCGAATAGCGGATATAATTCATTGGGATGGTGACCAAAAACAAGTCGGGATCTACCATCTTTTTTATAAAAGTGGAGGCAAACGAGCATACGTCAGACTTGAAGGTAAGTGATCATCGTCGCCCATTAACATCTGTAATGCCAGAGGAATAGTAGGTGCGCTGCAGTCTTTTAGAAAGGAGTAGGCTCTTTTCTTGATGGTCCCTAAGTATCGATACGGAAAATAATAAAATTTCCCTCTTTATACGATGGTATTAGATATTTTAAAGTTATCAGTATTAGTAAACGAGTGCACATCCACAGTAATATGTATATTTGAGCTAGTTACAATTTTCTTCATCATTATCATCATACTCTAAAAATCCATTACTAGACAATAAGTTAATACATAATATAATGATGTGAAGGATCAATATAATAAACTTTTTATTCCCCGTGACTTCACTCGTGTGTAATTTAGGGTTTCAGTTATTTTGCGCGGAACCCTAATTCTTTTTCTAAAATAAAAGCTAGCTGCTATCTGCCAGTCCACGTCCCGTCAAAATTAATCCAGCCATTTGGGAGATTAGTTGGAATAAACAGACAGACAAACAATTCATAAAAACATTTTAAAATTGTGTTTTTGTTACGAGTGCCGCATAAATTTTCATATGCATTAAGTAAAAAAGCTGTTATTTTGACATTACAAACAAAAACTTCAAATTTATTTAATTATATAGATGCACCTATAGATATACGTTGGAATAACGAATTTGAAGTGAAAGGAATAAATACGTCCTTCGCGTTAGCGTAAATAGACTGCAAAATTACTAGGAATAAGTAATATTGCTTAATTAACGATAATCAGCCGACTTTTAAATAAACTTGACAATTAATTGCGACTAATTATTAAAACAAATCTAAAAATGTTGCGCTTAATTAATTTTGATTTCGTAAGTGCTTATTATGAAACAAGATATTGTGTAACATAAATTTTTATATATCATTAAAAGAGCATATATAGAGGGGTTACATATTTCATTATGTATTACAAAGTATTTCCTACTCCGTAATTTTGAAAATCAGAAAGATTGGTAGATAATATAGTCCTTATTAATACATACATACATACATAAACACTCACGACGGTCACCCAGAGGGGTAGGCAGAGACTACAGACTTCCATTTAGCACGATCCTGACATACCTTTCTCGCCTCTTCCACATCCATATACCTACGCATACATGCTCGTCGGTTAAGGGTACTCTTAATTTGGCCCATTTTTAGTATATCGTCAATTTGGTCGACAAACTTCCGCCTAGGACGTCCCTTTCCGACTCTTCCATTCACTTCTGCAACATATATTTGCTTTGTCAGTCTTTCCGCATTCATTATTTCTACATGACCAAACCACCGAAGCATTCCTTTCTTAATCCTGGTCACCGCATCATCTTGCAAACCACACTCTTCTTTTATCACACAGTTTCTCACCCTGTCACTCAGATTCAGCCCTAACGTACTCCTTAAACGCCGCATTTCTACTGCGTTTATTCTACTCTCGTGCTTCTTCTGCCACACCCAACTTTCACTACCATACGTTAAAGTAGGGACTAATACAGCACTGTGAATTGCCATACGTGCCTTTTTTGACAAATTCTGACTTTTCACAATAGAGTGTAGAGCCCCATTTACAGCCCTTATTAATAAAGAATATGAATCCAATCCTACGACAATAAATTTAATATTTACAACGGGATTATCTAAGTTGACTTCCTACAATCGTGTAAGCTATTACAAAACTTTAAAGATTAATAGAAATATATTGGCATTGTTAAGTCACCAGTCTGATGATCAAATTGATATGATGATCATTCACTTTTATAGTCTTATATGTCGATTCATGAATCATCCGTGACCATGATAACATTATGAATAAAATGCCTATGCTTGAAGGCTTGGTTTTACCAGTGATGGCAAATGGATCTAAGATGTGGTCTTTCATTGCCGACCGTATAAGTTGAACCAACGCCGAAATAGCAGAACGGATTAGTTAAATAAAGTGGCAATGGGCTAAATATTGTTCAAAGAACCGGAAACTGATGGGGAGTAAAGGTTCTCAAGTGGCAGCCTCGTACCAGTAAGTAAAGGGTAGGGGGCTTATCCAGCGACTGCCTGCATCTCTAACAGGTCTCCACTATATAGCTTATACCGTGGAATATCATACAGGATATTTTTTCAGTATCGGTAACATAACATGGTCAACGTACGGTTTACACTTGGACTTGGTTGCAAAGGACGTGCCTTTTATTATATTTAGTAATAATTTAAAACATTATCCATAGCCAGGCTAAGAGGTCATTTCATCAAGTCCTCAGAGATGGCAACGCATATCTACCAAGTTTGTTAGTTAGTAGTACTAAATCCGTACATCATTGATATTGAGTATCGTTTGAGGCGCATTTTTACCTTGTCGGAACTCGTTTTCAAGAATAACAATAATTTTCTTGGATGAACTCCATGGCTTTAAAATAGCGATAACGATTTGCAAATAAAAGAAAACCCAAAGAATCAAATGAACTGATATTATTAAAAAGAAAAAGGATATAAAAGTAAAGACGCGGGTACATCTAGTTTGAGATAAAAAAGTAGTCAGCTCTACACGGTAGCAACATAATAGAACATTTTGACTATTTGTATCCCAAAATGGATGTACAGTTTGTAATAATAATGAGGATCTGTTTTACAACGTCTTCAATAATTATCAAGTTTGCAACATTATCTTTAGTTAGTAACATTCCACTAAACAATTTCTACCCAATACAAGAGTATGTACTGTTTATAACAAACGATTATTCACACTGCATAATTTTCTGGTCAACAAACTCAGACCTTAATAGCTTACAAATAAGTACGACATTCATTTGCTATATTCACACTCGTAATGCAGGCTAATGTACACAGAAGGATATACAAAAGGCTGCATTATTTACAATCTCCTTTGTTCGATGCTGGAATGCGACTTTGATCCTTTGGGTTAAGTAAACGTCGTTTCGCGTGCAGCTAAAGCGTGTTCTGGCGTTTACAAAAAAATCTCTTTATATCAAGGAGACATGAATCAAAAGAATATAAGTATAACGTATATAAAGAAACCAAGTAATCGTCAGTCCTTTCTTCCAAGGAGGGTCGTGTTCATTTACGTCTTAAAGATCTCTCGTCAGATCGTTAAGCCAATCCCAAAAGATGGTGTTTAGTGGGTAAAAGTCTCCACATAACCACGCAACCGGCTGCGTGGTATGCTATCAGGATTCACCACATCCCTCCCCCGTTACCGGAGGGTTGCCTTAATTGCTTCGGGCGCAAAAAAAGCGTCAGCACTGGGAAGCAAGACGTACGCCCTCGTTACATTTAAGATACTCAAGTTTTAATAAAAAGTTAAATCGACCTATAAAGGTCAATACAATATATAGTGGTAGTGGTTCCCCTTCGTTGACGAACTATTCGTGCTACATCCATAACATAGCTGCAATCTCTTCGTAAGTTTTGTAACATTCTGCTCTAATGATTATATAAAAGTATTGATAGCTTCGGTATTGGTCAAACTGCAGAGTCCAATCGCTTTTGTAATATTCTCCTGACTATTTATTTATCGAAGAGTCGATCTAAGGCTCACTGTAATACTATAAAAGCCTGGTCTGAGCTAAAACGTATGCTCAATGACAAGAGTACTATCAATATTTCAGCTTTTGGAGAGCACCATATCCTGTAGCTATGACAAAGATGACTACGATACTAATGAACTATAATATTATGTATATTATAAAGGCTACGGAGTACACCATCTAAATATTTAAACCTAAACCATATTGTTAGATATTGGCCGAGGATGTCAATGGGTTACAATGCTCCCTTATCTTCAAGCTAACATTTGTCTTGACACTCTTTTTGTAAAAATATTTGTCCTTAGGATTAAGGACAGAATAACACGTAATGTACATTCGAATCACACGCAACGCGTGAGCCGTCACGAAGCGCCTGTCACGGTGTATAACTACTGTCACATCGATGTCAATTTATCTGGCACGACTCCATTACGATTCGACTGTCGATCTATAATGCAGTCCATGTGGTCACCCGTCCAATTATAACAAAGCAAGTCCAAGTTCGTAATTGTTAGGGATTAAAATCTAACTAATAATCAAGAAGGACCACTCTCACCGAATACCATCGTAAAATAGCAGTTTCGCGAAGCTATTGAAATCAAAAAACATCCTAATTTCAATAGAGAAGATGGCTGGGTGCTACCATCTGCTTGGGATCCTATAATAAATAAAATTAAAACCCAACCCAAGCATACAACTGCAAGACTTCATGATACCATAAGTTCATACTGTGTAGATCGGAACAAAAGTTAAATTTTAATCTATGGTAACCGCGGTTAACTATGACATCCGGACGTTGAACATCTCAGTCCTTCCCGTGACCATGGGTGCTGTAAAGTTCTCGAAACGTCGGGTATTAAAAAGTTAAATATACGCGATAAATTCCGTAAAAACTAGTATTATATTCAATATCTAGCACATTATTAATGTTCGATATTCTATTATCACATTCCACGTTCTAATTTGTTTTTATGCGTTATAAATACATTTAAAATCAACTTTTAAAAAATGACTAAAACTATTGATTACATGCTTCTGTTGCCAAAGGTAACTTTCTAGTGATTTGAGGATCACACTAATGTATAGATAATTTAAAAATCTATATTGTCCATGTTTTATCTAATTTCTTAAAATCGCTTTTCTTTTTTAATTGAAATAATTCTTAACTAGCAATCCATTTCATAAATATGGAGTCATAAAATTAATAAATAAATTCACATGTAAATTTACACAGTAAAATACCTAGATTATTTAAAAAATTGAATACATAAAATATCTGTGACAGCTTTTAAATAGTAAATTAGGTATTTTTTACATTTATCCATTTACAGAAACTTACCTTTTTCAGGTGTTTGTTGACCCATTTTGTGAACGTCTTTTTCTGTATTGCATCTCGTTCATCTGTAACGAATAAAAATCATGTTATTACATCATATAATTCATTCTCAATTAAAAACACGATGTAAATAAATGTACTGTTGTTTTTTTTTACAATAATTAAGAGATTCTTAAACCTTAAGGCGTATAAGAATAGAGTAACCGAAAATTAAATTTTTAAGAAAAATATACTACATTTTATTAACTTTTTTGTTTTTAAATCATATCATATCATACCATTATCTCAATTAACAACCGTTACACAAGTACTAATAATTTGAAGTAGACAAGAAAAGTAAAACTTTTTATAAAGAGTTAAATTTTAACTGGTAACAAGAGATTCTATCTCAAATCTCAATCCTCAAACCGGAGATCCATCAACACGTGTGTATGTGAAGTTTTAAATAAAATAAATAAATACATTTTCGTGACTATTTGCTACATTGTTGCCAAATCACTAACGTTCCGATGGACTGCGTGCTCGCTTAGAAGTCTCACTTGAAGTAAAAAAGTTAAAGTTACAGCCTATATACGTCCCACAGCTGGGCACAGGCCTTCTCTCATTTCTGATATAGTTTTAGGGCAATGAAGTGTCCGTCGCGCTTCCCCAATGCGTGATGGTGAACTTCACATGTCTCCAAAATTTTTTTTTATTTTTAAGACATGCAGGTTTCCTTATGATGTTTTCCTTCATCGCCAAGCACGTGGTAAATCAGCACTTAAGATTGCAATTAACAATTTCATTTGTGCCGGCGGGGATCGAACCCGGCTTGCTCGCGTAATGTGACTTTACAACGAGCGCTAAGCATCTGAGTTCTGAACTACCACGGCTCTCACTTGTCTCACTTGAATAAAAAGAATTTTATTAATTCCAAAGTTTTGCTAATTCATTCGTTATCGTTACAGCTTTTTAAAGCTCACTGCTGAGAATAGGTCTAGGCCTAGGCCCCCGTGAATTGCCCCATAGGGAGGATATCTGCCATAGTCGCCACGCACGGCAAGCGGGATAACAACCGCAGTTTTTTTTTAAATTTTTAGTCGTCGTAAGGACAACGCTACTGCCCATCTCCTTATTTGTTTCCCGCCGTCGCCTCTTCCGACATCAAAGGAATGATATGGGGTAGGAGATATTCATACATACCTATTATAGGGTGAGGTTGCTAATTCATAATCAAATAAAATTCTGAAGCAAGTGAAATAAATGTTAAAAGCATTATTATGTACAAACCAGTTAAATATACACAGAGGTAACGTACAAAACTTGCAGTGTGAAAATTACACCACTAAATTGACAAGCAGACGTAGGTGAACGAACTAGACGCAGACCGATAACATTCTAATCTAGTTTATTAATACCCGGCTATTTTCGTACCAAAACAGTGGGCGATGCCAAATAATTTCACTGGCGGAAGTACGGCGCTGAAATGCGTACTTAAGAATCATTACATACAAAATTGCACTAGGTATTAACGTTACAATTTGTATGTAATTACTCTAAGTATTGTAACGAAGGCATTCTTAACATCTGTCACAGGATAATCACGATGTTTATGATTGTGCTGTCAGCTGTCACCCGATCGATTCGGAAATGAAATCTCCTTATATTTTGTAAGAAATTAAAATTTTGTTGTCAAATATCAATGTACTTTATAAGCTACTACCATTTCGAAATGAGCTATTATGATAGTAGGTACCTTTATGTTTCTTATAAACTGATAAACAGTAGAGATGATGTTTAAAGTTAGCAAATTTTTTGGTTAAAAATTAGTTTGAATTTTAAACAAGACGGTCTACTAGTATTTGTAGATGAAAAAAACTATATACATATTTTTACATCTGTCACATAATTAGAACCTAAAACCGATGATTGCTAATTGATAAATGCATTACCTTTATAGGTATTGTTACAAAAACAATAAAAGCCGATTTGTTCATAGCATCAGCCGTCACTTGAGGAAATCCGTTACACGTTGTAATTACATTTTTATTATTGTAGTTATTAGAATGCGCAATTTGTAGTGTTGCGATTTGCATTTGTAATTCAAGTTCACATATCCTCGAATTTTCTTTGAATTTTTCAGGCAGCCGGATTTATTCACGATGCTTCCTCGCACCGCCGATCACGCCGTAAATCAGCATTTGCAATTAAACATTGCAGTGACGAAAAAAGAATAGTATAGAATAATCAACATAGATTACAAATAATCCTTCATTGTATTATTTAGACCTTCTTCTTACCCATGAGGTCCACCAACACCCAATCCAAAAAAAACTTTCCATAATGAGAGGCCGGTGCCTGTTTGTTACAAAGACTGCCTAGTTGGTTTAGTAGTTCTAATCGCAATTGCTGATCGAAAGTTTTTGGGTTTTTCCTGCCCCGCGCAGATGGCTTGTCTCCGTTTAGACTGGCCGGCGTGACCAAAATTCAGTCTAGAGGTATAAAGAACTATGCACCACCTTCATCTATAAAATGTTGGCAAACTTTGTTTCCACAGGACGAGTATGTAATAAATGTATGCGTCGTCCTTCACAGATCGAACACATTTATGATGCAGCTATACAGTTGCAGAGTGACCATACCACATTAAATATTTTCCGATTTTTTTAACTTATTGACATAAAGATTATACATAATATTATTCTTAAATATGTTTGGATGATTATCTTCTATACATTTGGGGTAGGCTACCAAATAATATTGAAATATATGACTATATTTCAAAACTATACAAACTCTATCATTAAAACTTTAATAAAAAACTCGACTGCGTAAAAATGTTTACTTTAAAGAAATTTTTTTTATAGCCTATGTCACTTAAGACGAATCTAACGACACCTCGTACGTTTAAAATTTAAATCAATCAAGCCGTGCAGGCTACAGAGCGTGACAAAAAAATAAACATACGTACATACTCTCGAAAAATATTACTCTCTTTCTAGGGCAGTCGGGTATTAAATAAAAGTAACACACTCACGATTATTATTAAAAGTCTTGCTCTTGTATTGCATTTCATTGCACTTTAAATTATCTCATGTCGGTACCGAGTTAAGCGACTCACACACTCATCGCAAGTGTCGCATTTCACAAACAGAATATCTTCATTGGCTTTATTAAACGATCCGTTGAATGTTTCGGTATTTTAAAGACGTGTGAAATGTATTTCGAATAGCAAGCTGTTCGCAAATTACTCGTATAACCCATATTACTCAAGGAATACTCATATCTCATACGTTCGCTTTTAATAGAAGTGTAACGTTCCATCGCGATGTCAATTGCAATGCACTGATTGAGTTTATCACGCTTCACGGCTTCATATTAAGGGCATGTGCACATTCATTTTTAATAGTCTAGAATACGTAAAACACAAAAATTAAAATATTGTGTACACACGTACGAAGTGAAACTTCTTTACGACATATCATTCTTCTTGTATTTTATTACTTATGCAGCCCCGGCAGTGAAACGTTACAACAAATCGTGACATTTTTTCATGTAATAAATTTCTCCACTACGTCGATAAAGAAGTTGCACTGTAGTAAGAAACGAGTCATGTGTTCATATGCGAACGAATGAAGTGATAAATTTTCCGCTTCTACCATCCCTAGCGTCTACTTTTCCTTATTTAGCTGATTTCTACGATCTTTAAAGTATCGGATGAGTAGACTAAGTCCAGAAAAGTATATAGTTGTACAAGAAAATATTTATGATAATCATGAGTGATATATAAGCGTGCGAAGAATATTAACAGTAAAAGCACAAATATCGGAGATAGGCTCGGATAAGCGGTCTAAGACGCACGAAGGCTATCATGAAATTTTGTAGATGTATTTTTCTGGATCCGCATGGTCGTAGAGACCAAATTTAATCGGATTATTAATCGGATCAAAAACTGAAGGAAGCCAGGCTAACTATGACATCAGGACGTCAAAGACCTCAGCGCTCCCGTGACCGTGAGTTCTGTAAAGCACCCGAAACGTCGGGAATTAAAAAGTTAAAACTAAACGCAATAACAAATTAGTTATATTTAACAAATCTAATCACTTGTTTCGTTAAAAGAAAAAAATCAAAAGAAATCACGAGTGTGCACGTTCCCGCCGGTTCACACGATACGATCATTTCTGAACATTTCGCAAGCGATTCTTCGTATCGCTGCACATCGCTGCAACCTGCAACCGAGTGGGATACAGTAATGCTCACTTATGTTTACTTACGCGCTGCAATTGAACCGGCCGAGTTCCATTAACTTGTCGATATAGTAGGTATTATGATTCAGGAAAGTTTTAAATTTAGTGAAAAGTCTTAAACGCCACATACATATCATCATTACTATAATTGCAGCCTGTCACAGGTGATAAAACAGATCCTATGCTGAAATGGCAAAAGACCGAGCATTTTGCTCGAAGAATCGATAACCGATAGGATAGGGAATAAGCAGAGAGTCTATGGATGTAAGTGGTTCAAGACTGTTTTGTGTAAATCAATAGACGAGGCCTTTGTTCAGAGAAGGACACTTGTAAAGTTTCCAAGTATTTCTCTTTATCGACCCATTATATAGATGGATTCCCTCACAGCACTCACTGTAAATATATTTTTATCTTGAACGAGTGGTTATTTTGTTCAAGACTTTTATATATCCTACATGTTTATGTGACAATTAAGTAGTTACTAAAACGCATCTCCTGATTTGTTTCCCTGTGTAAATACGACACCCAAGAGATGATATGGGGTAGTGGATACTCTTGCACCGCTACTTAAACGCAGTTATTATACTGTTTCATCGTTAGCGTCTTCGTAACAATGACTAAAAATGTAAAAAAACTGCGGTCGCCATCCGGTTTGCTAAGCGCGGCAACTATGGCAACTATCCCCCTATGAGCTTCTCTATTGGGAAGGTTTAAGTTCAGCAGTGAACTTTAATAAGGCTGCAATGGTAAGAATGCATGCATGCAAAATTCAATTGACGACTATTGCATTCATTGCATTCACGGCGTTCAAAGAATCTATTAAAGGACAGTGTCCTGCT